TTATTTAGAATCATAGGAATTTCTTTGGTGTTAATGGTGTATACTGTTGTATAGGTTATGTTTCTTGGTAGAACAGCATAGCATTATTCTGCTGAAAACAACAATAAGACCCATATTGAGAAACAATGTTAGATCATGATCTGTGAACATTCATGGGCAAAACGTCTCTTCTTTCTTTAATACCAAACTGAATTATTTTATTTTTAGGTTTCCAACATGTGGCATAATGCCTTGAACACAGCGGGTGTACCTGTTCATTAAATGTTTCATAAGTAACAAATAAAATTGGAAATCAGTCATAGTTTTAGGAGTTCATTGTTTCTAAATTTCTTTGATACCTCCCAATATCTGGAACAGCACAACCCCAAATAAATTCGTAGATAGTCAATGCCAACAAAATGCAGAACATTTTATTTCTAATTATTTCCTATGATAGCTTTTATTCTTATATACAAGTTGGACATAACCTAGAGTTATGATTTCTGCATTAGAAGGGAACTTATAAGTTATCTAGTCTAACCTTTTCATCTAATTCATCTTATCTCTTGGTTTTATTACTTATATATGCATTTGTATATATTAATATATTACTCTTCCTTGAGAACATAAGGGTTTGTTTTTATATCCTTGATAGGTTGAGAGATACTTCATATAATGTCGTATAACTATTTGATTAAATAGTTTAACACAGATAATTTTTCCTGGCACAGTCTTAAAAATATCTTTTCTGGTTAAATGGAACACCAGTGACATATAGTGGTTGTCTAGGTTATTTGCTAGACATTATTACAGAAGACATACTATAGGTTGGTCATGTTTTGTTTTGTTAACATAACAGTAAATTGAACCACATACTAATTTTTCACGTTCAGATACTAAACTAGGTGTACTTATATTATTTTTATACTCACAAGACATTACAGGAGTGCATTAGACAAATTTACCCCCAAAGTAATATTTATTTAAATTTGAAAATAAAAACATAGTCTAGGCAAATGTTAGTTGCTATTCAGTATGTTCTCTAAGAATTTAAGAGTTTCTAAATGAAAATGCTCAATGCTTTTCTTGCTAAATATGGTTTTATTTATCCCAAAGTCCAGAAAATAGGAATTTCCTCACTGGAAGACCTGATGTGGTTATGAGCGAAGATTGTGGAAACATTGATGAGAGAAGACAGTTGGACCTCATTACTGAAAACCAATCTGTAGAACATATTTGGGGAGAAAATAGAAAAGAGGTTTCAAATTTTCTTGAAGATGTGAACCAGCTAACCCCCAACCTTCTACCAGAGAAAACTGACTCTTTTATTCATAAAAATATGATCAATTTATTAAGCACAGATCAACAGAGGATAAAGGACACCTTTGACAAGTGTGGCTATGAAAGTATGAGAGAGATTTGTGCAGTCACTAGTTCTGATAGAAACCATCCTGCTGGTAGATACATTAGAAGTATTTTTACAGATCCAGAGTTGACTTTTGGTAATTCTAATTTTAATAAAACAAGTTATCCAGAAAAGTGTTACCCAAACAAAAACTATCTGAAAGAGTACAACAATCATGAAAGCTATAATCTTAGTACAAATTTTGAGAAGGATTGTTATCCAGCCAGCTCTGAAAAAGGAGGTTAGTGTTATACATGGAAAAAACAATAAACTATTGGGATTTTTTGTTTTTAGCTTTAATGTATGTTTACATGCATGCACACATATGTGTGTGCGTATTTGTGGGTGTGTGTTGAGGAATATGAGATTAAAAATAGCATGACAGTCTATTATATGACATTGTGGACCAAGGGTTTTCCTCTATAATGGGTCATACTAATAAGTTTCAAATTTAAAAATAAAAGTCATCTATGCTGAAGTTTTATTTCATTGCATACCTTTACTTTTAAAGGAAAATTTGAAAGTGATTACCAACAGAATACACCACAGAGAGAAATCCAGAAATACCCAGTGAACCATATGTAAGTTTTTTTTAAAAGATTTTTATTGGGGAATTGGGGGATGGGAACAGCGCTGGGTACTTGGGGGAAGGGGAACAGACAGGTTGCTGTCCTTTTGTTCTTCAGTCATGCTGGCTGCGGGCTACACACGGAAGCCCATGGCAACCCATTGCAGCAGGGGCTGCAGCCTACGCCGTGACCGGTGACTCATGGTATCCCGGTTCCAGGTTGAGCTGTTGTTAGCATCTTAGCTGTAGAGGGCAGTGTCACTGGCCCTCATATGTGGGATCCGAACCGGGGCCCTCTGGCGTCCCAAGCCAGTTCTTAACCAACGCGCCACTCGGCTGGCCCTGTAAGTGTTTAGGTGAATCAGGGGAATGCTAATCAGAATCTAATATAATGCGTGTTGAAGGGTTGAACTGATGCAGCGTGAGGTAGGCATATTGCTGTGAGGGTGGGCAGGCTGGTCTCAAAGACGGCTTACCACTTGTCAGCATCTTGGTTATATTACCCTACTTGAGAGTATGCTGCTTATATCTGCCAGTGCAAAAGTATGTTCTATATTTGAACCTTGGTGTTAATTAGATTTAAGAAAACTGACTTGAGTGTTCAAGAAACTTATATACACACCAGAATGTTAATTTATTAATTTACAGTAAGAAATAGAAGGATCACATATCTAGGAATGTTTACTGGCATGATAAGCATATTTTCAAACTTTTGGCAGCTCTCTATGGGAAGGTTGTTTAGTTATTACAGAATCAGAAAAAGGAAAAATAGAATATAATGTTAATGGCATAAGGAAGTATATCAACAGTTTATGGTGCTGCAGTTAATTAAAGAAAACTTGTAGTTTCAGAATAGCCCTTTCTTAGTAATAATTGTGATTCAGCAAATGCTGGTAATTGGAAATCATGAACTACAATAGCTTTTTTTCCTGGAAGTACTTTCTTATGGAAATATTAAAATTATATTTATAAAAATACATAGATGCCATTTTTATGGGATTGGCACAACAAATTAAGACGTAGAGTCACAACTTATTTAATAAAATAAACACATTAAATTACCTGCCAGATCTCCAAATATTCAGAAATATATGAATGGAAAACATCATGTTAGGCCTTGAATTCTAAAATCATTATGAAAATGATTTAGAACATGTTTTCTAAACCTAGTTGCAGACCCACATCACTTGAGGGGGTGATTTTAAAATACAAAATACCAAGTTTGATTACACATAATAAATAGACTCCTTAAGATGGAGCTTACGAATCTTTATTTTTTAAAAAGCTTCACATAGAATTTCAATCTGCAGCCAAGTTTGGGAACCATAATGTAGAGCAATAATTTTCAGAGGGAATAAAGCAAAGTTTAATGCTGTCTTATTTATGATCCTTTAGGGGTACTGTCCCTTTGGGAGAATTACATTCTAAGCAGTCATGGAACTTTGGACTTGGCGAGGTAAAGTACATCTTACATTGTCTTTCCAATTAAGTCAGTGGTATTATTGTGTGACATTTTAGTATTTGTAATTTACTTTGATTTAAAGTTAGCTTTTACTGAAAACTTTATTTTTAGGCTAACTTGTTTTCTTGTATTTTCTTATCTGGGGAAATTATGGCTTAGATATAGAAATAAAATTAACACCTTTTCAGAAACTGTAATGTGCTTTATTTGAGACAAACCAATCTAGGTATACTTGAAAATTTTTTTTAACTTGTATAAAATTTCTCCCAAGATAAAAATGCTTTAGGTTTCAATGTGCTATAGGTAAACATAGTTACATATTTAGGAGTACTGCAACATCTGTAAACATGGTTATGTATGTATGTTGTAACCCCTGCTGATAATTAGGGTGTATGATTGTTACCACAGTCCAGGCAATGTGCTTAGGAGCTCTATGTACTTTATCTCTAATCTACCAGAGCCTGATCCTGTAAAGTCTTCACAGCAAAAGAGATTCAAGTTCAGAGAGATTAAATAACTTGTTCAAGGTCACACACTCAAGCCAGGATTCAAGCTCTTATCTGACTCTATATTTTCAGCTATACTAATTGTTTTCTCTTTTTGTCTTCAATAAATATGCACTGAGTACATATTATGAATTCATTTAATAGATATTTATTGAGTGTCTCCTATATCTTAGACACTGGGGTTATAGTGGTGACAAAACAAAGTTTCTGTTCTTACGAAGCTTATATTCTGTTCTGCGCTAAGCTCTGCAAGGTACAGAGATGAAAGCACATGAAACTGATATTTAAGAAGCTATAGTGTAGTAGCTAGACAGAAACAGAAAAAAATCTAATGCATTTAGATAAATTGCTCCAATTGGGGTTTATGCAGAAGTCAGTGGGAACCTAGTAAAAGTCGCTTCTAAGTTTTGTGGGTTGTCAGGAGGAAGATGTGCTAGAGGAGAAAACTTTTGATCTGATATCAATTCATAAACTTACCAAGTGGACCAACTGCCTTTATCCTATGAAGGAGGAGTAACATAGATAGAAACTAAGATGTGAGAGAGTATAGCTTGCTCTAGAAAGTGCAAGTAACTTGTACTGTTATTGCTGCTGCTATAGTACAAATTACAGGGGGTCGGGGAATGGCAAGAGATAATTCTGGACAATATAAAGGGCTGGGCCATAAAAGATCTTGTGTGACATATAGTAGTTTGTTTAATTGCCTATCACCAAACAAAAAGCCACTGAAAAAATTTTAGCAGAGGAGTATGATGACACCCAAGTATCAGAGAGTAGTGTCTGGCAACAATGAGGAGAGATTTGAGAAGTCGCAAGACTCAAGGCAGGGCCAAAAATATTGAGAGCTTGAAGTTGAGCAGGGGCCTTAAGGATGGAATTGAGGGAAGAGCTATGACAAAGGTTTTAGAAGATCTACATTTGATAGGATTTGAAGATTAGTTAAGGGATAAAAATATTGAAGAATACCTGGGGTTATGATTTGGGTAAATGGGTAGTTGATGGGGGGTGCCAGTCACCAAAACTGAAAACATAGGAGGAGGTTGCAGAACAGGGTAACTGTTCACCAACATCCATGTACCCTCATTCATAGAGTAGTCACTGGGAGATGGCACTCGGCCTGGGACACATTTCCTAATCTTCTGTCCAGCTAAGTGTGACCATGAGGCTCGATCTCGGTAATGGACTGTTACCAGAAGTGATGTGCATTATTTTCAAGGATTGTAAGAAGTGGGAATTGCTTTTCCATGTTATCCTTCTCCTATGGGTAGATGGCACTGAAGCCCTAAAGGATGCTTAGAGACACAAGATGGGAAGGACTGGGTCTTTAAATCACTAGATGGAGAAAAGTTGCCTGCTGACCAAGAAAATTAATTACATTATTATATGAGAAAGAAAGAATAGTGTTTGAGTATTATACATTTGGTGATTAAAAAAAGTACCTAGCATTACTCTGATTCAGAGGAAGAGCAAATTTCTAAGAGACTATAAGTTATGTTTGGCCTGTTGAGGTCGATTGAGGGTCTTCTGAAAATTAGGTCAAGATGTGTAGTAGGCATTTATATATACAGAGCCTGACATCAGAAGAGATTTTTAGTATTCAGTGGATAGGTGGTGATTGAATACATTTGTATATATGATTCTCAAGAGAAAATGCATCGAATAAGAACAAAAGACCATCCCGAGGAAGCACAGCATTTGAAGTTGGAGGATGTGCAATAAAAGAGAAACCAGAAAAAGAGACTGAGAATGAGCTGTTAGAGGTGTTTGAGGAGTACTAGAAGAATGGTGTCATAGGAAAGAAAAAAGATTTTTGGGAGTGCAGGGTGGTCAGTAATATCAGATGCTGCCCTGTTAACCCTTTAAAGAATTCAGACTTTCCCATATATGAATAATGTAAATATATTCTCTCAATGAAGGAATTATCAATGTTAGAATCCTTGAAAAACAAACTCTGTTCGATTATATCTGTGGCAGCTTGAATGTGGCTAAAGAAAGACAAAAGAAAATAAGCCCACTGGCGGGTCCTGAAGGGAATCGGGTTCTATGAGGAGCTCTTGGGTAGAGCAGGCAGAAGGCTTTGAATCTGTGACACTTGGACAGGGCTAAAGGCGTAGTGGAACGCTGGCTAAAGTCTTAATTTCTACAAGAGAGACCAAGGCGGTAGGCACCACAGGAGAGAAAACAAGGGTTGGAATGATGAGCTGGTCTGTACCTGTCCACTGGTTGGGAGACGTCAGAACTGGCAGTTCCTACGGAGGCACAATGAATGAAAAGATAGAAGCCAACAAGCAAACAAGCGATAAACCAAACCAAACCAAAATTTCTCTTGGATGGCAGGTAGTGAGAATGGAATTGGGAAGTAGGGGTGTTCTCAAGATTCTTTTGTTGGATGTGGAAGCAGTAGAAAAGAAGAAGGTCTTAGAAGAGTATAATTATTTTATTGTTTTTTTGAGATATAGTTGACATGTAACAGTGTACTAGTTTCACATATACAACATAATGATTTGATATATGTATATATTGCAAAATGATCACAGTAAGTCTATGATCCAACATCCATCAGCATACATAGTTTAAATTATTTTTTCTTGTAAGAAGTTTTAAGATCTTGTCTCTTAGAAACTTTCAAATATATAATACAGTATTACTAATTATAATCACCTTGCTGTACATTACATCCTTGGGACTTATTTATTTTATATCTGTACGTTTATACCTTTTGACCCCCTTCATCCATTTCACCGATACCCCGCCCTGCATCTAGCAATCTCTATTCTGTTCTATATATCTATGAATTTATTTTTTTTTCTTTTTTGTAGATTGCATATAAAAGTGAGATCGTATTGCTTTTGCCTTTCTATGACTTATTTCACTTAGCATAATGCCCTCTAGGTCAATCCGTGTTGTCACAAATGGGAGGATTTCCTTCTTTCTTGTGGATGAATAATATTCCATTGTACATATACATATCTTCTTTATCCATTCATGGACGCTTAGGTTGTTTCCATGTCTTGGCTGTTGTAAATAATGCTGCAGTGTACATGGGGGTGAGAACCATCTTTTTGAGTTAGTATCTTCAAATCACCAGGAGTCTCTGGCTCATACAGTAGTTCTATTTTTAATTTTTTGAGGTATCTCCATACTGTTTTCCATAGTGGCTGAGCAATTTACATTCCACCAACAGTGTACAAGGGTTCCCTTTTTTCCACATCCTTGCTGACACTTGTTATTTCTTGTCTTTTTGATGACAGACATTTTAACAGGTGTGAGATGGTATCTCATTGTGGTTTTCATTTGTATTTCCTTGATGATTCATGATGTTGAGCACTTTTTCAAGTACCTGTTGGCCATCTGTATATCTTCTTTGCAAAAATGTCTATTCAGTTCCTCTGCCAATTTTTTAAATAGGATGTTGTTTTTTTGTTTTTGCTTTTTTGCTTTGAGTTATACGAGTTCTTTATGAATTTTGGATGTTAATTTCTTACCAGAAATATGATTTGCAGATATTTTCTCCCACTCTGTAGGTTGCCTTTTTATTTTGTTGATTTTTTTTTTGTGTGTGTGTATGTGTAGAAGCTTTTTAGATTGATAGGGTCCCAATTTGTTTATTTTTGCTTTTGGTGTCAAATCCAACAACAACAACAATAAATCATTGCTAAGATGGTGCCAAGGATCTTACCACTTATATTTTGTAAAAGGGCCATGTTGTAAAGGTGGTAGGTTCATTACTTATAAAGCTAGTATGAAAGTTAAGACAAAAGTAATAAAAATAACTACAATACTTTGTTAATAGATACACAAGATAAAAAGATATAAGTTGTGACAACAAAAACATAGGTAAATCTAAGAGATTTACCTATGGAGTCATAGCCACATTCTCTATTAAAAATACATTGATCCACAGGGACTGAAGAACAAAAGGACAGCAACTTGTCTGTTTCCCTTCCCTATTCCCCAGCGCTGTTCCCCTCCCCCAATTCCCCAATTTAAAAAAAGAAAAGAAAAAATACATTGAATTAGAAATCAACAACAAAAAAAGATGCTTAACCTCCCTTATATCCTTGGAAATTAAGAAACACTCTGGTTATAAAAAAGAAAAAGAACAAAATAAAAAGAAAGAAAATGAAAATAAAATAAATATTACATAAAATTGAGGGAAAACAAAGCCAATGGTGTGTTCTATAGAAACTGTATACCTCTAAGAGCTTTTATTTAGAAAACCTGAAAATAAATGAACTGCTATCCAATTTAAGAAATTAGAAAGGCAATAAGAATAAATCTCCAAATTGCCTTAATATATCTTTGTCTTTTTTCAACTGCATTTTCTATGATTATGTGAAGCCCTTCATGTTGGTTAGTAATTAATTTCCTAGCAAGTGTTTCTAAAGCAATTCAGGCATATTTTTCTTTGTTGTAAAATCATTTTTGTTGAATTAAAATAATCTGAAGGAAGAGTACTGTAAAATGAAATGGTGGGGTTAAAAGGGAGATGCACTCGTAAGTGGATATTATTGCATATACTTGGGAGTTAAAGTTTTTTTTTCCTTCTAGAGTCTGATGGAAGAAGGAGGAAAATGTTCTACAAGGAAACTCTGTCAGTGTAACAGTAAGTGAATTTTATCCTTTTAAAAAAACCTTACATTTGAATGGAAATCAGTTAAGTTTTAAGTGTTTTTTTTTTTTTTTAGATTTTTGCCAGCAAGTATGTTTCGTGATTAACTTAAAATATACTAGTAATACAATTGATTCTTTAAAATTACTTTTATTTTTTATAAAATATATTAATCATGATCAGTATATGTGTTCAGTTTAACAGATACCTTTGTACTCACTTTGTAGTTTAAGAAATAATGCATAATTAATACTTTTGAAAATCTTCTCTATTGCGTTACCTATCCTGCCCCCTAGAGGTAGCTATTATGCTGAATTTGTTTTTTGTGATATTACACATAGAGTTTTTCCATTGTTTGGTTTTGAACTTTCTACGAATTGAGGTAAACTCTATTTATCTGTAACTTGCTCTCTTTTTGTTCACCCAGTAGTATATTTTGAGGTTCGTCTACTTTGAAACTTGTGATTCTAGTAATTTATTTATTTGCTGCTATATAGCCTTCTATTATATGAATGTATCACAATTTATTTACGCACCTCTGGCTATGATTCTTTAGGTTGTTTTGAATATTTTGCGATGTAAAACAGTGCTACATTAGTAATTCTGGACATTTCTCTTGGCACACATATATAAAAAGTTCCTCTAGGATACAGCTCTAGGAGTAGACTTGGCTAGTTCATATGATATGCACATCTTCACCTCTTCTAGGTGTGCAAAATTGTTTTCCAAAGTAGTTGTGCCAGTTTAAGCTTCCGCTGGCAACAGATAAGAGCTTTAGTTGTTACATATTCTGGGTCAGCTTTTTGTCGTTGTTGGCCTTCTAATATCTCATTGTAATTTTAATTTATATTTCCCTGATTATTAAATAGATTGACTGGCCAGCCATGTTTCATCTGTGAAATGTTTTTCATGTCTGCTGCCCATGTATCTTTTAGGAATTTTGATGCTTCTTGAGGGATGTGTCTTATATATACTGGGTCTATATGTATGTATCCTATATGTTTTGTATATCTTAGATACTAATTGCTTGTAGGTTGTGTGTAGCAAATACTTCATATTTGAGTGGTCTTTTTATTCTGTACTGTACTGAATTTTTATGGACAGAAGTTTCTGGCACTTTTTAGATGTCCTAATTTCCTAATTTTCATATGCTAATACCATATCAGTATTTTTATTATGATTACTTTATAGTGTGTTTAATTTCTAAAAGAGTTACCCCCCCTTTGTACTTTTTAAAAAAGAGTTTTTCTGGCTCTTTTTGATTATTTTTTAATATAAACTTTAAAATCAGTTTATCTAACTCCAAAGACATGTTTTAATTTTTATTAGGAAAATGATGTGTATATTAACTTAGTATAAATTGTCATTCTTATTATGTTGAGTAGTCCTGCCTAAGAACAAGGTACGTCTTTCTATTAATTCAGTCTAATTTTGTATCTTTAATAATTGTTTAAAACATCTGTAAGCACTTTAAAGTTTTTGTCAAGTATTGTGCATGTCTCTTGCTAGACTTAGTTGTAGGTACTTTTTGTTGTTTTTGTTGCTACTTCAGTGTGAATACACACCCATGTTTCTGCTGTAAGTAAGATTCTGGATTTTGGACTTACACGCATGTGTGTTGATTCTTTTATTAAGAGTCTCTTTAGGAGATGAAATTTAATAACCATTTCTATTTATGCCAAGAATCAGTCTTTCCCAAATTTTGCCATCTTTTTATTTTCAAGCTTTATTATGTTGTATGTTTCTTGAAAAATACAGAGATTATTTTTTCTTCTCAACTTGTCTTCCCTGCTAATGACTCTGGGTTTACTGTACCGGTGGATTGAATGAACCATATTTGTGGGGGAATGCCCTTAGATTATGTTGTTAGTAAACTTCTACCATTAACTCTGTTGTACTCTGCTTTCTACTCTCAGGGAGAACCTGCTCCATGGGGGTATAAATTTCCCTCTAGAGTGATGAACTCTAAGGGTACTCAAGTTAGTTCAGCTAAATTCTCTCTGTCCGCTGACTGACGGTTAGTTTCTGTTACAGAGAGCTTCAGTTTGACCCAAGGTGTGAATAGATAGGACTCATTGCTTGTTGCATATAGGAGGGCATGTGACTTGATAGGAGTTTTTGCTCTACATTCAGTTACCTTTTGCTTTCTTGATAGCAAACCCATTTTCACAAACAAGGAGAGGCGTGGTTAAAGCTCCTGTTGATCTATAGTATTTATGCATTGTAGGAAGTCATGACCTACTTTTTAGGCTGATTTTCAAACTTTACAAACGATCATAATAGAACACGTTAAGCAGATAATGAAAGAGTATCATACTGGATGCTTTGAATTAAGTTTTTTTCATACAGTTTAGATTGTACAATGAAGCTTCATTTACTAGATTAGCAAATATCCAGTGCCTTGGTACTTATAAACTTGACTTATATTCCTCCTTCCTGCAGGCTGACACTTTAAATTATTTATTCATAAAAATGGTTCATCTATTGGAAAAAAAATCAATTCAATTTTCTTTATTTTTATATCTTTCCTTATGTTATGGACCCTTATTTTATTTGTAGGTACAACTCTTTTAAGTGCTGATTAAACCCATAATAACCCTATCAGAAACACAAGCTGCCAAATATCCAAAATGTCAACTAGTTTTCACAGACTTTAAAACGCTCTGTAGTATGTTAGCTAAACTTAATTTTATCCAGAAGATATCTTCTGCTTATGTATAAGAGGTCTGACAAGTTCGTGAACTCATCCTAGAAAAAGTGCTACGTACCTCATTGCTGAATATCACTACAGCCACCTTCGAAGTACTTCCCTTGGGAAGCTATGCACCGATGCCAGCGCCTAGGGTCCACCCTTCAAAGCAGTTTTGGAACTCTTTTTCTGGAATGGCCATCAGAGTTGTCATTGTATTACCCTTGATGTCCTGAATGTCATCGAAATGTCTTCCTTTCAATATTTCCTTTGTCTTCGGGTACAGAAAGAAGTCATTGGGGGCCAGATCAGGTGAGTAGGGAGGGTGTTCCAATACAGTTATTCGTTTACTGGCTAAAACCTCCCTGACAGACAGTGCCGTGTGAGCTGGTGCATTGTTGTGATGCAAGAGCCATGAATTGTTGGCAAAAAGTTCAGGTTGTCTAACTGTTTCATACAGCGTTTTCAGCGCTTCCAAATAGTAAACTTGGTTAAACAGACTCTTAATGAATAATCCCTCTGACATCAAGTTTGCGAACCTAATTCTCAGACCTCGTATATTTTGTAGAGTATTAATAAATACCATTCCTCATGAATTAAACCTTTATTTTCAGATTGTTATTCTTCACAAAGTAGTCAGTCTGCCAGTTACTCTCCAAGGCCAACAGAGAGTTGTTTCAGCTCTAGTTCAGAGATGGTGAGTTACGCTTGTCCCCTCTTTTTTTATTATTGTTAGTATTTGCTCTACTGAGTTAGAATGGTTTGTATTTTTCATGGTTTACATTCTGAAAAAAACAATTGAGCCAATAAATAGTGGAAATAAATGTAAAAAAAAAGGGTGAAAAATGTTAAAAATGTAACATGTAAAATAAACATAAAAGTTAAAATGTAAATACGCATCATTCATTCACATTTATAAAGATGATGAGTGTGTTCATTGTTATTTACAAAGCCACTATATATAAGATATGTGTGTCTTTGTATTATGATAAAGTTGTGTTGTTTTTAAAAGGGTTTTGAAAACCCACTCACAATAACTGAAAATCTAAAATTACCAAGAGTACATACTCAAAGAAAATCTCAAGGTTTATATGAAGAAAACTATAAAATGTTATTGTAGATTGTAATCTGAATAATTGGAGAGACATGTTATATTCTGAATGGGAGTGCTGCAGTTCTCTTAAATCACATGTTTAAATGGAATTCTCCATTAATGTTCATTGCATCTGTCTCCAGCTAGCTGTCCAAACTGCCTTTGCTAAAGGGAGGAAACCAGTGACCTCTATGTTGCCAAATTCGTTGGATACATTTTAGTTTTTTTTTTNTTCTCTATTAAAAATACATTGATCCACAGGGACTGAAGAACAAAAGGACAGCAACTTGTCTGTTTCCCTTCCCTATTCCCCAGCGCTGTTCCCCTTCCCCAATTCCCGAATTTAAAAAAAAAAAAAGAAAAAATACATTGAATTAGAAAACATGAGGCGGGAGTAAAACTGTAAAGCTTTAGAATACAGTCGACTTAAGTTTTTACCAATTTAAAACTGATAGCTATAAATATAAGTTGTTTTATATAAGTCTCATGGTAACCACAAAGCAAAAACCTTAAGTAAATACACAGATGATAAAGAGAAAGGAATCTAAGCCTACTACTACAGAAAATTATCAAATCACAAAGGAAGAAAGCAAGAAAAAAGGTAACAAAGGAATTACAAAACAACTAGGAAACAATGAACAAGATGGTGATAAGTCCATACCTATCAATAGTTACTTCAAATGTAAATAGTCTCACTTCTCACATCAAAAGATGTAGTGTGGCTAAATGGATTAAAACAAAACAAAACAAACAATGTTGGCTTTATGTCATCTATATGTTGGCTTTTAAAGCTTGATATTTTGGGGACTCATCTCTTAGGTGCAGCAGGTTTTAAAAGTTTTGATACCAGGTGTGGGGAGCGGTTTGCTCCTCAGGGAGAAGCTTGGAGTTGTGGGTTCCCTCCCGATTGTGTCTCCATACCTGGGGTAGGATTTATGGTGAAGTTGTGTCTCAGCCTCTCCTACCCATTGCCATGTGGGGTTTTTCTTATTCGCCTGATGTGTAGGAAGGAGTGTTTCAGCTAGACTTGGGGTTTCTTTCAGAGGAAATGGTTTCACATGTAGCTGTAGATGAACTGTGTCCATGGGAGGAAGTAAGCTCAGGATCCTCCATCTTGAACTGGAATGTGTTTAACTTAAAGTAGTTGAGGAATAAGATTTAAGTATGATTTCTTAAAATGGGAAGGTAATCACTAGAGAAATGGAGACAGAGAAGAACTTCAGAATTCAAAGTAGTGGCAGTGCTGTACGCTTCTGCTCACGACCAGAGCTCAAATCACACGTCCACACCAAGTCCGAGGGAGGCTACAGAATGTAGCCTAGCTCTGTGTTTAAGAGGAAAGGGAAACAAGTCTGGTTGCAGCTAGACAGTTTCTCCTTTATCTTACCTATCTGTCTATCTAAAACTCTACATCCCACCAACAGAGAATAGATATTTTCTTTAAGTCCATGGTACATTTGCAAACATAATTCATGTAAGGAGCCATAAAGTCTAAGAGATTTACCTATGGAGTCATAGCCACATTCTCTAATAAAAATACATTGATCCACAACTAGACTGAAGAACAAAAGGACAGCAACTTGTCTGTTTCCCTTCCCCATTCCCCAGCGCTGTTCCCCTCCCCCAATTCCCCAAT